GGTTGACTCAGCCTTCCATCCTTCCAAATGAGGACCCAGATTGTTGGGGGCAATATGCTGACTCTGTAAACTGCTTAAGAGAAGGCTGTAGCGCACTGTGAAGCGGTATGTAAGTCTAAGTGCTAGTGACTCTACTTTGCTTCTCAAAGATTTGTGGCCTTGGTTAAGTAACAAGCTTTTTTCTTCCTTTTGCTTTAATCATTCTGTTGGGAGAATTCTGTTCACTGTATATTTTTAAAAAATGAAAAAATAAATGTGGCTTTTATAAACACAGAAACATATGATAAGAAAAATAATGTAGTTATGCTGTTTACAAACATGCCAAAACTATCATCTCTGTATTAGAAACTGTATATTATCCTCACTATGTATGATTTTTTTTAATATTAACTGAAATGAAGAAAAAGATTTGCAAAACAGTATCCATTAAATTACTTTAATTAAGAATTATGAAACATGCTCTTTAAGCTATCAAGTGTAATTGTGCACTGTAATTATTTGATATAAATATTGCATGCTTTAAATTACCAATTTGTTATTTAACCAGTGTAATTTTTTTCTGGATTCCCCCTCCCCCACCATCTAAAGCTGCAAGATAATGAAAGGAAAGTTATGTTAGTCATACTGCTATAGATAAATATTTACACCAGAGGAAACTGCTACAAATAACCACAAAATTCCTACTCTATTTGGAAAACAAAACATCTCAGCAATTTATTTATCAAGCTGTGTTGATTTGAACATTATACTAGGATAAATCCAGAAATACATCTCCATCTGGAAAGGTGAACAAGCAATGTTGCCAAAACATCTGCCTGGGGGAAAAAAAGATGTCTGAAAATTTTATTGATTAGGTATTTATTTGTCCTGATTCCAATCTTTATTATGACTCAAATAGGTAGAGATGCTCTATTTGAACTTTTTATTGGGCCCAGATGTCCTGCTATTGAAAACTCAACCCCCTCAAATGATTACTGATTACTTGCCATGATTCCTTTTTCTATAGCTTCAGAAGCACTTTGCTTTGGGACAGGAAAAAGGACAAGGCTTATACGAGGTTCTCCTGCTAGAGCAGGGGGCTGGACTAGAAGATCTCAAAGATTCCTTCCAGATTCTATTCTATTCTATTCTATTCTATTCTATTCTATTCTATTCTATTCTATTCTATTCTATTCTAAATTAATTCTAAAGTCCTTTCCTGCTTTGATAGATCAGACTAGAAAGAGTGGAAGAGAGACCTTGAATCTGCTAACTAATTAAAAAAAACTAAAGCAACATGACTCTCATAATCTTGTATAATCAGCAGAATTGAAAACGGTGGATAGAAAAGACGGGAAGTTGTACCTTAGTACCATTGTGAATCCTTCTTTATCTCTTTTCCATATGTTTACAGATCCGAAACTGGGAACGGGACTGGTCCAGTCCTAAAGTCCATGGGGGGAGGGAGAATGCTCCCCAAAAGGGGATACATGCCTTTTCCTTACTAGTCCCTCAAGGTGAAATCTAGACTCTTTGTGATATATAAAAGAAAGTGTTATAAATTCTGAGATTATTGGGGCCCAATAACTGTGGAGGTACTCTCTGCCTTAGGATAGCAGTCTCTTTAAAAAAAAAATATCTGTGGGTTGAACAATGTCCAAGTTAAAACTTTACACAGGTCCTTGAAAAAGACTTAGCCTGAAAAATTGTAAAAGTATTTGTTTACTTAGTGGAATAAGCCTTAATCAACTTTGGTTACCAGGCTGTCAGTATCAAAATAATGCAGTCCCTGAGCTATGTTGATACCTTAGAAAAGTGTATCTTTTCAGATAAGTCTTTTCAACATAGTGTATAAAGTTCAGTACCAAAGTACTGTTACCAGAAAGCATATTTCTTAGGATTAACTTACGCCATCCAGGTACAAACAGGATTCCTTGCATTTATACCAGTTCTTGTCATACAGTGAGCGAAGAGCATGTAAAGCTTCAAGGCAGCTTTCAATAGTAAATAGAAATAGAATTTATTTGGGCATAGACTAAAGGCTGATAGGAGGCAGGTTTTAAAATATTGATATTTTTGCTTTCAGAATGTTTCACCTCTTTCTGTTTCAGTGTAATGTATCTTGCAGAGAGGAAAGAAGATAAAAATTGTGTACCTCTGGTTTAGTAGTTTAGTTTGAGCGATGGCTATAGTAGATATGTAAAGGTTCTATGGTTGATAGTCCGAATTATTATGAACTAACATAGTTACAAGAAGCAGGCAGTGAAGTTCAAAATATTGTAACTTATGTAGATTAGGTTTGAAGTCTTAATGAAAAATAATTCCTTTATTAAGAATGTAGGTATTATGCTCAGTCTCACCTCGAATTGCAAGATGGGCCATAAACAAATTTAATAATAAATAAAACAAAAAATCAATTATATTTGTCATTAAAAATGAATCCTGGAATAATAATGTGCGGTGGCAATATATGATAGTGCTTTACATATACTGAGTTTAATAGATAATATTATTTAAGTTGCATACATACTGCAGCTTCTGAGGGAGGGAAACTTATTTGCTCTGAAAAAAATAAACATTCTATTGTTAAATTGCTTTTACTCCCATTGGGCAGTACCTCAAGTGTGAGAAATAAGTATATGGGGTAGTTATGTCACACTCAGCTATATGCATTTGAAAGCAAGTGGGCTTGGAAGAGAAATGAGAGGATGTCCATTCCACTTAGAGCTTTGTAACGGAATGTAAAATCATTTCTCCTTTCTGTAGAAGTAAAAACATATGAATTGGAAAGATTTCTGGAAAATAAAACCAGAAATATTGTTATAACTGCATTCCACAAAAATGCTTGAAACAAGCCAATTCCAAATAATGGATTATGAATCTTTTTAATATACTATAGTTAAGATTAGCCCTGGATTGTCAGAATATTAAATGGGGATGGAAACCACTAATCCACTCATGGAGAGTGTGTAAGACCTAGACTCGCTCTTAATTGTTCCCATCATGTGTATAGGTGAACGTGCATGCTTTATAAAGAGATGACGACAAAGACGTGTGATGCTGCCCTTAGGAATCTGAAATGCCTATTAAATGCATCCTCAAATTTCAAACCGAGATGAAACTTGCATACAATATGTATGTCAGTTGCTCAGTAAATACAAGACCTTTGAAATGAACTAAGCATTAGAGCAGGGGTAGTCAACCTTGGCTTTTATGACTCGTGGACTTCAATTCCCAGAATTCCTGAGCCAGCTTAGCTGGCTCAGGAATTCTGGGAATTGAAGTCCACGAGTCATAAAAGAGCCAAGGTTGACTACCCCTGCATTAGAGGAAATGATACCTGTTATTCTCTTTCAAAAGCTTTCAAGAAATAATCCTTAAAACAATTAAAGATGTGCAATGCTTAACATCAGCTGCTATACAAAAAAAAGTATCAAATGAAATTGAGCAGGGAAGGCTACGTACTCCACCTCTGGCATATACATCGGGTTTTACTTGAGCATCCTTTGTTAAATACTTTTCAAATGTCCACCGAACATTTAATTACACTTCCATTAAAAATCAGAATATATAAAAATCTTTTACTTCAACATATTTCAAATTGTCATATTTACACTTCAATTTTAAAACAAAGGTCAGTGAAAAATACAGCTATGTTACCACTGAACAATTTAGGATTAAATTAAAAAAAATATCACATATTAAACCAGAAACTTGTCTATGGCCACGAATGTATGAAAACACAGCAGATCTAGGCAGGGGAAAAAAAGCATAAAATTCCAAGGTAAACACTTCTATTTAAAAGAAAATACAAACACACTATCAGAAATGTTTGGCTTTCAAATAACACGATTTTCCTTAAGTGTAAAATCTACAGCTATGAAAAATAATGTACAATATATCTGGAGAACAGCTTCAGATAAAGGTTAGTGTGCCTTAAATAGATATATCACCAAGACAGCCTTTACTGAAAGACGTCAATTAGGAAGTCGAAAAACTTAAATTGTAAGAGTGACTGTGTGTGTGTGTGTGTTTGTGTGTGCGCACAAGTTTTAACATTGTTACTACATAATAAATACAAACTTTGAAGAGAATTGAGGGTGCAGAGCAACTGCAGCCTATACAGGCCAGTCTACTAAATAAACAGGAGCCAACACAGTAGTGAAGTAACCAAGATCCCCAAAATTGAGAAATACTCTAGAAAGTGTGGGTGCTTGTTTCTACAACTTGTGCTGGTGACAACAGAGAGAACACAGGTCACTTGCTTTTATAATATAAACAAGCTCCTATTTCATCTCTATGAAGGATAGGCCTGTCTGAAAAGATTGCAGGGATTTCAGCCAGACCTTTTAAAAACTGATTAAAAGAGTGAGAAAGTTTTCATGAGCTTTGGTCCAAAATATGACTTGATTCATAATGCTGATGATTCTTTTTTGTTGGGGGGGGGGACGACAAACACTATGCAAGCAATATGGAAGTTGAGTTGGGGCAACTGGACTTCTTTTCTTGTTGGTTTGAAGCATTTGGCTGCCTTCCAGATAACTTCCAGACAACTCTACCTAGATGACCAGAATTTTCATCAATGTATTGCAAGCCGTGAAAATATTCAAATCTGGTTCCATGTTCTTGCTTTGATATTAACTAAGTAAAAGTATGTGTATTGCTGCGTATTGTTTTTGGTCTATATGCAGTGATGCATTTCTCATTGTAGGAATTATTTATATGCTGAGGATGGAGTGAACCCTATCAAGGACAGCCAGGCTCTGCAAAAGAAAGCCATTAGTGGCTTGATCAATACAAACATTATTTTTACTTGCTAAAGATAAAAGGGACAGACATGCTTTCTTCCCAGGAAATTCAATGTTTGTTTTTGCCAGGCAGTGGAAAACTAAATCTTTGTCCTTCTGATCTCTCCTGGACGCCGATGTATATAGGACACCAAAAAGCTACTTCTGCAATTTCTGCCTGTTTTTCTTTTCTTTTATCTGTTCTTTTTTTCTTTTCCTTATTCTTTGGGGGGGGGGAGAATGTATACCTGTGTGTATGTAGAATTCCAGTTATATTGTCTCCAGTAATCATGCTCAATTTAAGCTACTACATTTACACATATCATATTAATATCTTGCCTAGGACAAAACATAATTTGAAATGTGGCATTAACACTTCTCACAGTAGAACACTCTCCACTGAAGCCCTTCATCCTCATTAGTTTCTTCTCCAGCTTTGTCTGCTGCATTTTTGTGCAAACAACACATTACATAAAGAGAAACATACATTTTTATTTACATGAACATTCTTCTGAACAGGTATCAGAGTCCTTCACCTTGCTTTTCACAGTTGTAAATAGCAAATGATCTACAATACTCTTAATCAGTTGTCATGGATACCATGTAAAGCTCAGCAGGGTTGTTTATGAACATGTCCAGTTATAAGAACTCCACATAGTTCTCAGGAATCAATCCTATTTTCCCATTCAAGGTCCCTTCCAACCAGCCAGGTTCTTGAGATGGATGAACTGGAAAGATATAGGCAGGTTATTACACTTGTAAATCTGAGATTTTAAAACAAAATTGGATTCCCCCCCCCCAACATATATGTAAGTGGCTGAAGAAAGAAGAAGGGACAGAGACGCAACACCATTTTGTCATGCCTTGGGGCTTTATACATTGGGGTCTACAATCCGGTTCAATCCTCTGAGGATGTGTTCTCTCTCAGCTCTCAAAAAGGCATGGATATTCTGGTGATTTGCATTTGCAAATCTGCATCCATTTGCATTTTTAATTCACACATGTTGCTGACCTGCCTTTCAGAATGACCCCAGAGGTCAAAGCATACCTAAGAGGCATGCAAGCTTACAGCAGTTTTCCAGATGTTGTGAAGTACTGTTTGTCCACCAGTGGAATGCTCCATCTACTGGCTGGTTTCAGAATCTCAAAATCAAGCCATATCTAAGCTGATAGTGATGAGCCACAGTTTCTCATTTCAAATTCTCAGTTGAATCCACCAATTCTAGCTGGAACATGAACTCATCGGTGCTATTATAGTCTAAGGAGCAGTTTGTTTTCCATAGGAGACATTTGTTTCAGCTCACCTCACCTCACCTCACCTCACCTCTCTGCATGTGTGTTTCATCATTACATTTTTACCTGAAACCAGGACAAAACAACATGTACAACTGCTCTTCCCTCCCCCCCCCACTTCATAACACTGTAGGCTTTTCCCTTACCTTAACAGAATTATTTCCTAGAATTGGTGGATGCATAGCTTATACCCAATTTTCTTTCATTTCTCATCATTGCTATTCAGAAGGATTCCTGTTCAAGGTGAATGCCCTATCAGCAAGCTAGCAATCTAAAAGGGTAAGCAAGTCAAGGGATTATAGACTCAGGTTTATTAATATATTGCCATATCCTAATGCTCCCCTCGCACACCCAGAGTTTTATTTATTTATTTTTATAAAGAATTTGCTTTCCCTAGGCAAGTTAGTGCTATAAAAAGGTAACACACATGAAGAGAGAGTGGATGGGTGGGGAAGGAAAATGTTAGCATTTTATTGATTTTCTGTAGAAGAGAAGATAACGTTATGGTTGTTAAGTCATAACCAGAAAGGGTTAGATGTGGTGGGGAACAGCTTCTGTGAGTGGGTGCAAAGGACACTTGGCAACTGACTCACAAGATCTCATCATACTGTGACAAAAGCATAGATAGGCCTAAGAAAGAATGGCTTTGAGAATGATCATTTGATTTGAAAAGGTTAAGGGAACACGAAAGGATTGCAGTTTCATCTAAACTGATCTTGTTAAGACTTGGGAAATAAACAGGCGGTGATCTGGAGCAGCTCATGGATTCTCTTTGTTAATTGCCACATGGTTGTGGAACTTCCTCCCATTGATTTGCTATGCTTTCTCTCTCTCCATCTTCAGATGCATGATGAAAATATACAAACACACCGTTGTGCTCTGAACTGAATTTGTGGGTATAGCTAGAGTAAGGCTAGATGGAGAAGGAGATGGGACAAGGTCTTCTCTCTTTCTACTACTCAATGTTTTGTTGATTTATAGCCACATTTTTCTGGTAAGGAATGGAAGCAGAAGAGATTTTACTCATTTCTATTTATCACTTGAAATCAGGCATTAATGTCTTTCTTTCACTTTACAGCTGAACCACAAATGTATTAAATATTAAAGACATGTTTCTTTTGTTCAGCATGGAGTGGAGTTTATATAATTTACAGCAGTACTTTAAAAAAAAA